TTCGGCTATTGGCATCTTCAGCCAATACATAATTAATACATTAACAAATATCTTTTACCCAGGCGGAAAGTGACAAAAGTACAAATAAAGAAGCATATACAAAGAAGTTGCCTGTCTTCTTGGTTAACAAGTGATTGTTCTAATAAAGTTATTAAGAATTAAAATTACATAAAATTAATATTAAAATTGTATAAAGAAAGTGCTTATCTCAATCACATATAACACTGCAGTTAACTATGTTAAGTATTGAGTAAATGAAAAAGATTTATATAAAACATGTTGTGATGAAACTTAAAAATCGTCAAGATGTATCGAATGTTGTTAACTTGTCACGTTTAAGAATGTAATAAACAAGATGTTTTTAAGATAGATACTGAAAGGACATAGAACGATGTTGTTATTGTGTAAGTTGAATCTAAATTTATTTACATTTATTAAGATTATTATATGTTTAAGATTATTATATCATTATATGTTCGATCTAAACAATCATTTGTTTATCGTTTTATATTTATGATTTCTGAAATCAATCGTTTGTTAAAATATCTTCGTCCAGAATTTCTGTATTACCCAATCAATTTTGTGATTATGATGCAAAGCGTCTTCAGTGATAACAGAATAAGAATTAGGACCTTTACATAAATTACTTTTATGTTCTGTTATCTTGTAATTAATTTTCTTTTTGTTTGACCCACGTAGGATGCATCACAATCCTTATAGTTTATTTTATAAACAACGTTTCTTTTTTGTTCTTTGGACGTCAGATCTTTATGAATTTTTACAAATTTATTTAATTTATTTAAACTTAAAAAGTTCTATGTATATCACCATTAATTACATTTTTTAATTTATCTGAAATACTTTACACATATGGAATAAAGAACCATCTTTTTTTCATCTGAATCTTTTCTGAGTTATTCTTATTAGTCTACGAATTTGTTTTTTTAATTAAATGTTTAAGTCTATTAATTATTGGTCTTGAGGATAAAATCTATAGTCATTGTCTGTTAACATTTTATTATAAACGTAAAATTTTTTTCATGAAATTCTGGATGTGAGGCAGTGCAAGAACGAAACTATGATTTGTCTTTTTTGCGATTTTCTCCAAAACGAAGCAAAAACGAACATATTTCTACTTTTTTTCTTAGTTTGTCGATCCCCTACACACTCCCGAAGTTTTGACATTTAAATTCCAGATACCCTGTATAAATATAAATTAATTCCTAAAGATTCCTTAATAATACAAAATGGTTGGATATAACAAGGCAATATAATGAATATTGGATATAACAGAATTCAAGCATAGGAATAATTTTTGTATGAATCAATACAAAACAACGGTTAACGAAACAACTTTATTAATAATTAATCCGTTTACATGTTTTGGCTCACTTTTGAGATATCCTCAGAGACAATATGATGTTGTAATTATAAAAAATTTTTTTACAAACTAATTCATTTCAGCGAGCCACTTCCATCTATTAACGGAAATTATAATATAAAAACGAACTCTAATAGTAATTTGCAAGAAGATGCTAGAAGTAATAACATATAATGATCACAATAATAAAATGCATTTCTATTTGAGTATATATGTATACACACATATTTCATATATTAAAATATATTATATATAGTAAGAAATATAAAATATATATAGTAAGAAATATAAAATATATATAGTAAGAAATAAATATAGTAAGAAAGTAATATAATACCTGTTTTTAGTATGTCTAACTTATTTTTTTTTTACGGATGTTGCGGTCTTTGATGCAAACATCATTCTTGCATTACTTTTCTTTAACCTCTCTCTCTCTCGCTCTCTCTCTCTCTCTCTCTCTCTCTCTCTCTCGTAAATTTTCTATATTTTTAATTTTAAGATTAAAATATAAACGAGATCAAATAAAGTGCAAAATTCTTGTGCATATCTGCAACTGCAGTATATGAGAAATACACCTTGTACTGTTTTAATTGCCTTCGCATTTAACTAATATTTTATTGCTTGAAAAGCTATTTCCTTTACAGAAAAGTAAAATGTGACAATTTTTTTAGAATGTTGTTTTTATAGAAGAATACAATTATTGTTGTGTCCTCTCTTTACTAAATAACAATATTTCTTTACTAATGACATTACTTTAGGAGAAATATTTAAAGTATCTGCTAAAGAAGCTGTGTTCTCCGCTAAGAATTTTAAATTATTATGCGATAAAGGAGATAGTTCTGCCATAGAAATAATATCTAAAGATGTAAATAATAGGATTTTATGTATGCGTGATAAAGAAATGTTTAAGTGAGTATGATAAACTGTATCTAAATTCTGTTCATCACATCTTGAATACTGTCTGTCCATTGATAGATGAAATTTTCTATTTTGATTTTCTTCTCTAAAGCATTAAAATAAAAAAATAAACTAATCTCTTTAATCAAATATAAACGAAAATTTGAACTTTTACTTAGCAGAAAAGTAGACTAATTATCAGAATATATTATGACCGTAATCTCAACTGATGGCACAACTTCGTCGCTTTTCTGTGATTGCAATTCGACAACCAATGATTTTACTCTAATACTCTAATACTCTAATACTCTAAGTCGATAGCTACTCACTGAATTACCGCGAATTCTTTCTTAACTCAAGTTGGGCGCCAGGAATGAGCGTGCCGCTTTTTGTGACTCCTCTCAATCGCGACTAATTATTTTCGATATTTCTTTAATGTGACGGACGACAACCGACTGCTCAATCCCACAGCGAGAGTGGATGATTTGGAGCGGAAGTGAATCGGAAGGCGAGAGAACAAATAAGAATTACTTCCTTTTAATAATAAGAGAATGGAAAACATATATTCAATATTGATAGAGAACAATTACATGAATCTATTCAAGTACGCAATTCACTATAGTTACCATAATTTGTCTCAGGGCGAACATGAGCTCGTTATAAGCGGAAGTTATCGAATCGCGTAGCACAAAATAATACGAGAAATGTGAATAGGCGATTATCGCGAGTTATCCCAAATTCCTCAGTCGATTCAAGTTTACAGTAACAATCGCGGCTTTCCGCCAGACGTCGTATAATGATTTTCTCTACTCTACAAGTGCGATTCAAACGGCGATGTACAATGCAAGATGGCGAGTTAACATACAATCTCATTAACGAGACGCAATGACTTTGCTGTGGTGAGAGGGTGGCAAACTTTACGCGAACTGAATACAAAAATCTATGTGAATCAAGCGAACAGCAAACGACAGCGAAGAGACTAATTACTCGCGGTAGCCCTCTGTACGGACCGCAGCCTTTCGGCTCGAATTCAGCACGTGCTATTCGCTCGAGATCATGTTGTTAGGGATCGGCGGTCTTACAAAATTTCTAACTTGTCTCACCGGCAACTCCTCCCTTTCGGTTCTTCCGTTAGCTCTCTCCATTAGCTCCCTTCGGCTCGGCTCATTCCGAGGTTCGATAACGCTATTCGCACGGATGCTCGCTTCGTCATGGATCCTGCTTCCTTTAACAATTTATCCACGGCTCATGCTACAACGCAAGTGATTTCGGCAGGTCCCGGTGATGATGCACAGGCCGTGTTGCTTTTTGGGAGTGAGGCCTCTCGGCGCCTGATTGACCGATAGCGGCGCCGTGCGACCCCGCGAATCGCATGGCAGCGACGTAGCTTCTCGCGCCTTGCGCGAATCTGAATTTCGCCTGGGTAGTCTTCTCGCCCGAAACTTTTCTCTGGTCTCGCATGGAGCTCTTCTTGCCTTAGGCAGTTCCTTTAGTTTGAGCCCGAGTTCGCCATGGTTCTCTCGGCGGATGGTTTTCCTCTTGAGAAGCTACCTCATCCGGAGCTATGTCTCGGCATCCTTCGTTCTCTCTGTAAAACAGGAGCGACACTAAAAGGATGCAAATAATAGATGCAGGCAGGAAGTTAAAAAGAGATATGATCTGCGCGCTCCCGTCATTGAGGCATAGTCTGGAGCCTCCTCGGTGACAGTCCTCTTTCCTGCTAGCAACCGGGTGAGACATAATCAATGTACACAGTTACTGATCCTGGCAACGATTCTCGCAGAAAAATAATGCAAAAAAATACAGAAAAAAAAAATAAATAAAAATAAATTTAAGATGGCTCATGAACGATAGCGCCCGCATGCTTATTGCTCGCCCTCACGAGCCGAGAGGACTCAAGATCCACTTGGCTTATCCGCGTCAAAGTGACGGACGAAAAATGTCACGGCGCAGTACATAATAAAATAGTCATACTAGCTACTGTAATTTATAGAAATGTTCCATTTTTCAATCAAGTACTTAACATAAAGATATATGTCAACGTGATTGCTTCTTATATTTACATATTGAATTAAAAAATAAAAATCAATCATATTAATTTATATGTTCTTAATCATTGACTCAATGTCAAGATAAGTTAACAATTTAAATATATTATTACCAATTCTATTTATAATACAAGTTTAGATTATTATTCTACATGCTTTTCTACTTGCTTTTCTGCTGTCAATATAAATTTTTCTAAAAAATATGGTAATAAAATATTTGATACAATATGTCATACACAACTGTCATAACAACAATATGTCATACACAAAATCTTATCTGAATCATTTGCATTAGCAAGAGAATGAGAGAATGTTGTTGATACAGCATCAGGTTTAAGCCTTCATAATCCATGTTGCTCTCCTAATCCTTGTTGCTCTCCCACTATTGCTCATTAAAATGCACTTTTACATATTAATGCATGCATACACATATAATATAACAACATACATATATATATTGGGTCATTTAAAAAGTATCCGCGGTTTTTTGTTCAATTTTTGAATGAAATTTTTCTTTATTGAAAATCAATTTTAATCAAGTATATATTGGTCATTATTATCTATAACCTTTTGCCATTTTTCGGATAATTTCATAATTCCATCCGTGTAGAACTTCTGTGGTTTATCGGCGAAAAACTTTTTTAAGTGATTTTCGGCAGCTCTTTTGTCGGCTAATGTTTTTCCATCAAGAGAATTCTGCAGAGATCGAAACAAATGGTAGTCAGACGGTGCAAGGTCCAGGCTATACGGTGGATGCATTCAAAACTTCCCAACCAAGCTCCCTCAATTTTTGGTTATTTGCCATCAATCCAGGCTTTGAAGTCGTTTGTGGTGGTTCGCCGCGCTTACTCCATGATCTTTTACGAACGATATTCTTGTATTTCATTCATTTTTCATCGCCCGTGATGATTTGCTTCAGAAATGGATCGATTTCGTTGCGTTTTAGTAGTGTTTCGCTGATGGAAATTCGATCAGTCAAATTTCTTTGCGTTAATTCATGTGTTTGCACCCAAACGTCGAGTTTCTTTGCATAGCCAGCCTTTTTCAAAAGCCAGCCTGATTCCAAACTGTCACATGATTGATTCTTAGTGCATTAGCTATCTCCTGACAGCTCACATGCCTGTCTTGCTTGACCAGTTGCAAAATTTCATCGACTTTTTCAGTGACTGGCCGACCAGAGCGAGGTCGATCTTTGACATCAAAATTTCCAGAACGAAATCGAACAAATCACTCCTGTGTCCTGCGTTCACTTACAGCATCCGCGCCATAAACTTCACAAATTTTTCTGCATGTTTGTGCTGCGTTTTTGCCTTTTTTGTAGTAAAAAGCATCACATAGTGTATTTCTTCAGAAAGTTCACTCATTTTCAAACCAATATAACTTTTGATACGATTGATGAATCACCAAACTTTGTTTACAAAAAATGTAACCTAAAATGTCATCTTTCAAACGCGCGTTCGTTGACACAATCGGATTAGTGTTGCCCGATATATGATCATCAACACCATCTAGTGACAAAAAACCGCGGATACTTTTTAAATGACCTAATATTAATATATATTAACATATATTAATATATACTCAAGTAATGACGTCAAATGAAATCATGACTGAAAAAGGCATTGCTGAGACAGCACCATCACCTTGCAACTTGAATATTATTAAAACAACAAAAAATTATTAGACGGTTTTTTTAAAAAAAGATACAAGTACACTCATATTATATGTAAAGACAACCACACATTGTCCAAAAAAGTATTTAATTGACAAGCAAATTAAAACTGAGATTATATATTATAAATGACTAAAGAAAAGTATTTAGAAAAAAACGTGACAAATATGATACACCAGAGTTTCCTAATTCATTAAAGGGTACAATATAAGAAATGAATTCGATTGGGATAACAGATTTTGGATTAAGATTTTGGAATGAATCTTCATATGTTAAGAATGGTGTCTGATTTGTAAACAAAACAAAACGCAGGATAAATATTATAAAAAAATGTCTATCTGACAATCTGACACCTATCACCCCTAGATCTTCTATCCGTCACTTAGATACCTTTGTTTTTCCATCTCTTATGTTTGTATGTATTGATGTATTGATTTTTATTTGTTGTACGTTTATTCGTATAATGTTCTTCAAGAAGATAGACGTTTTGTATAGTATTCGACTAACGTCTGTTTCTACCAATGCTGTAAGATCAAATAAGAAAAACTATAATAAAATCTTATAATAATAATTAAGAGGGTCTTTACGTTTGAGAGCCAATTTTGAAGGCATTTTTTGAGATTTTTTAAAATAAATTTTTTTAATAAATAAAAATTAAGATACTAATACGGATCTAGAAAGTGTGTACAATGTATATGTAAACAAATATTTTTTTATAATGTTAACTTTTCACAGAATAGTAATAAGGTGGCGTTAAAGTTAGTTCTGCACCGCGATGGTCAAATGGTGATCAAGATACAAATCATATCGTTGATTTGAAAAAAACAAATTGATTTGAAAAGAACAAAGCTTTTTCTTAATGAGTGGATTTGTAATTTTCGCTTGACCTAGCATAATTAATATCATGCATATTTTCAAAATATGACCTGACTTTGAGTCGCCAAGGTTAGGTCAAGATCAAATTGATTTTTTTTGAATGGAACATTCTATATTTGATGCCAAAATCTAATAGCTGGTATCAAGAACTTTCCAAAACACTATAATAAAGTTATTTTTCGTTAAGTACTTTTTTCGAATTATAAGGCCTGAAAGAGAGCGTCTTGCGTCCCGTTATGACTGGAAAGTTTCCCTCGCCCAGCGCGTTTGTTTTTCTTCCGCACCATTATCGTAATGCAGAAAGAGTGGACTGTCTCTCAAGACCTGTCACTCCCGACCATTCGATTAACTACGGCCGGGAGTGACAGGTCATCACTAATGATCACACTACAAAAGACACTCCACATTCTAGGCGGAGCACTCTGCCAGCGTGTGATGCGCCATATCTACCGCCTCTGTGCAATGCCAGCATCTGGGTATTGATTGCTTCATAATCCAGTGCAGGTATTTTCTGAAGCAATCATGCCCCGAGAGGACTTGCATTAGATGATAGGTCAGGCCGCCTTGAACTCTGTTTATCCAAGCGCGTAGATAGGGCTGGATAGCCTTGACGGTCTCATGGCCGAGGATGAAGAAGAAAGATTTCTCTCACTTTTTTATAGACTCTCTTCTCCCTTTCCCTAATGATGTCACGTATCTTCGTTATAAGGACTCTGCCCCTTCTCTTGATTCGGTCAACACACCGCCCTTGTGCGACAGATCAAGAGGCGGTGTACCAGCGAAGACCGTAATCACCACGTGCAACACAGTACAGTAGGCCCGTGCAGCGATTCGTCTATTTGATGCGTTTATTTGACGACATCTCCTTGGCCCACAGTGATGCCCCGTAAAGGAGCATCGATTGCACTATGTTCGCATACAGACGCCAGACTTTGGAGTTTGGATCATCAAGGTTGGGCAGGAGGCGTCACAGTGACGTTGCTATCCTCTGGGAGTTATAATCTGGAAATGTCTCCAGAACCCATTCTTTCAGAGCTCATTCAATGTGAGCCCCAGATATTTCGTGTGGCTCACTTCGATACGGATTGATCCAACTACCATCTCTTGGAGGCGGCTCCCTCGAAGTCTTGTCATAAAAGTAAATTATTTCGGCTTTTTGTGGAAAATAATTTCACATGATGGAATTTCCAGATTCTATTTAAAAATCACTCTTTTAATTCTTGCCATGAAAGAATTAAATTTACATCGAATATGATGATAATGGAGTAATAAACTTTCTTGACGTAAAACTATTAATCGAAAATGGGAGAATTATTTCTGACAATTACAGGAAGCCTACAAATTCTGGAAGATACTTAAATTTTCTTTCTAATCATCCTGTTGAACACAAAAGGAGGGGAGGAGTGTTGTAATTGGGCAGTTAGACAGAATTCTATTCCTTTCCCATCCAAAATTTCATGAGAATAATATCATTTTCCTAATCAATATTCTCCAAAATAATGGGTATCCATCTGAATTTTTATTTATAACAATTAACAACAGGATCAAGACGTTGTCTTTCAAAAACAATTTTAATATCAAGGAACACAAAGATATTGCCAACTCGGATTCCTCCAGGATTGCTAAAAAGTATTTTACCATTCCTTACGTCAATAAAATATCTGAAAAATTTAAGTCTTACAAAAAATATTAGGTGTTGGAATTAATTCGTAGCGTTTTACAAGTGATGGGAAGTACTTTCATTAATGTATTTTTTAATGCTCATGTGAAATAAATAACATTCTTTCATTAAAAACGCTACGAATTAATTCCAACACCTAATATATGAAAAGAAAGAGCACAAAGAACCACAGCACAAGATGTAGTTAGTGACACTCAATCATTCTTGCATTACGATTCACAATAAAAACACCAGAGAAGTCATGAGAGATGACTTCTGACGTTCTAATATTATTATATGAAGCAGCGTCGCTTTGATGCAAACACGATCTTTACAATTATAACACACGAGAGTTGAATTTGATTCCAACTTGATGTAACTCTGCATCTTAAGAATATTATTAATTTTACTGAAGATGGCCAGATTGTGGCCGAAACGTTTGGTGTTTTTATTGTGAATCGTAATGCAAGAATGATTGAGTGTCACTAACTACATCTTGTGCTGTGATTCTTTGTGCTCTTTCTTTTCATATATTTTTGAAATTATAACCACATTCATTTTTTACATTTTTGTCAGCAGTGATTCTTACCATTTATTCAAATTGTTCTGTTTTTTAAATTGTGTTACTTATTCCTAGTTACATTTGCGAGGACTTGTATCAAAAAATACGTGGTAAATTTACGAAAGTTAATGTGAATTTATATTGATTTTCATGAATAATTATTGTATTGTTTAAAATTTAAATTATTAAATAGTGCTTTCTTTTCTTTTAATTTTAAATAGAATCTAGAAATTCCGTATTTTCACACGATGTTGCTCTTTTCTTCCTTTAAAAAGAATCATAAATGGAACAGATTATTCGTCAGAAGCGTTAAAATTTTTGGTTAATTTCATTTTCTGGATTTCATTTTATTTGTACCATAAGCGATTGGAAAATTCTTTTATCTTATTGATTAGTGATCATTGTTTTAATTTTATGTAGTTTTTCTATTTGTCATCTTGATACTGTTTTATCATCTTTTTGACTAGCGATTTTTGCTTAATTAATTAATTTTTTTGTATTTCTTTACTTGTCTTGATGTACTGATGATGGTCAAATCTCGACCGTCTACGTTTTTATATGATAATTTTAAATATATAATTTTCGTTTCAACATTTTATCGTTGTGGCTGTATGCTCTATTATTTATATTTTTTATTTTTTATTTTATTTGGTATGGTTGGTGTAAGATTTAATTTGACGCCAGTTGTTGATATTAAATCTTTTAAATGAATGATACATATTATTAGAATTAATATTATTTATTTAATTTATGGGATTTAACTTGGCGTCAATTATTGATGTCAAATCTTTTTATACGAATAATACATAAAATTTTTTTTGTGGAATTTAACTTGGCGCCAGTTGTTGAAATCTTATATAAATGATATATATGATTAGAATTAATAAGTAAATAAAGATAGTGCCATTTAGGTTTTACTTTTTTAAATTGTTTATAAATTTAATTTGTGATATTACTATAGTTGATTGATTGCGTTTACAAATTCGAAAAATCATTTCGGCGCGCAGTTCAAATAATTACGTATTTAGTAATATAGATAGTATATAAATTCACATAGAAATTATTTAAAAGCATTAAAGATCCAGCTTCGACCGGTATATGTAGTCTTCTATTATAGTTTATCAATTGTGTTCTCACATGTACGATCTAAAATAAGATTTTAATTGTTTATATTTTATCGCCTGAAAAAAGATATTGTTTCTTTACATATACCGATTATTGCGAAGAATATTACTAAGGCTTTTCTAGACTGGAGGCTTAGGACGGAATACAAGAAATCCGAGTTCAACTTCTAGTTGAGGTAATATTTTTCGCAATATATTTGTTTACAGTTTTTCAATACATTAACGTCTTTCTAATATGATGCCAGATTGAGCAAATTATTAAATTGCTTATCAATTTAATTTGTGATATTACTGTAGTAGTTTGATTGCGTTTACAAGTTCGAAAAATCATTTCGGTGCGCAGTTCAAATAACTACATATTTTAGTATATAAATTCACATAGAAAGAATGTAAAAGCATTAAAGATCCAACTTCGACCGATATAGACTTCTAGTTTATGGTTTGTGTTTTCACATGTACGGTATAAAATAAGATTTTAATTGTTTTTATTTTTAATTTGATAGAATTTAAGTTGGTTAACTAAGATAAAAGATACATAACGTATCATTTAGGTTCTATTCGAGAAGCATATTTTCAGCGCTTTTTACTTTATTTTTAAAAATCTTTCTTATGTATCCCTTAATTTGCTAATTATTTTTCGCTAGAATTTAAAAATTAAGCTCCAGATTAAAAAGAATTTGAAGAAAAAAATCATTTTAGAATGAAGTCACAAGAGTATGACATTTTAAGACTAAATTTATTTTAAGTTATCCTGCATAGGGTGTTTCTTAAGTAAATAGCGCTACTAATCATATTATACTATTCCTAATAAAAAGTCTTGAACTATTTTTTTTAATAATGTTCTACGTTTTTTGTTTGAGAGAATGTCCGTGAGCTATATATTCGGTAATACGTATATGTAAACGCATATTATTAGGCACGTGTCACTAACGTGTGCCTGTCTAATGGGACCGATTTCATTACCTTGATAATAATTACTTCATTAAGTATTGTAGAGAAAAAGTAGCTCAGAACTTTTCAATTCAATTTTTGATGAGGAATAGCATTATATAATTACTGAGCGCTATTTAAGAACACATACATACATATATAAGTTTTCCGAATTCAAATGGCCAAACTTCGGCGTGTAGAGGATTGATTTAATTGATTGAACTAAGTTTTAAAAAAGTTTTTTAGAGATATAATTGTTTTTGTTTGGAGAAAATTACAAAAAAAAAACAAAATGTATCTTGTACAGACAACTCGTGTTGCAGCCAAACATTGATATGGTCAATGTAATGATTCGCCGATCTGGTACTCTTCTATCTGGAAATCGATGCGCATACTCTCGCATTGTTTCTCACTGTATTATCGCTGAAGTTGCAGTTCATGAAAACAATAATATTCTGAAAATTATGTTTTCTTTTTTTTATGATTTTTTTCAAAATGAAACAAAAACGAACATATCTCTAAAGGATTTCTTTTCTTTGTTTATTGTGGAGGTGTCGAATGATTTGAAGGATCCAAATTAAGAAAAATTATTCTTTATTTCGGTTGTATACACTTTGTACACTGTATGTATAATATAATGTACCGAGATGATACAGTACTTGGGATAATTTTTATTATGTGCCAATTGGCCTAGGATGCTGATAATTAAAAATATCAAAAATGAAACTAATCGAAGATGCAGGTGCCGCCAATAACATGTCGTCAACAAACCTATAGGCAAAAGGGCAACGGAAACCGAATCGAAGACAAAGCTCTAACCTCCAGCTTTCGCATAATTAGATCCGCGATGACGGGAGACAACGAAGAGCCCCGTATAGGAGTCCCGTAATTCCGCCTATATATAATACTATCAAAAACAAAGAAAATAGAAATTAAAACAAACTGAATCGCTTTGATGAATTCCTCCTCCGGTAAACAACAAGAAATAAATCTCTAGAAATAAATCGCCAATGGTCTTTAATACAGTCTATCGCATAGTCAATGGGGACATTAGTGAAGAGACTTACAACATCCAATTAACTGAAATTCTGTCTTATCTTTGAACAATAGATTAAATTTAACAGTCAATCTTATTTAATGTATTGAAAGTAATATTTACAAATTGTCTATTGATAAGCGGATCTCGACTCACTCACTTCCTGTACTAAATAACTTACCTTCTTGTTCCCTACATTGTAGAGGTAGATAGGAGTTTGATAGGATCATTTTTAAATGATAATTTTTAATGAAAATAGTTTTAAATTTGTTAAAGAACTTGATGATAGAAACATTTGAGTGATGAATTTTAATTAATGTCACTGGATGTTGTGAGCCTCTTCACTAACGTCCCCATTGACTATGCAATGGATTGTATTAAAGACCATTAGCGATTTATTTTTAGAGATTGTTGTTTATCGGAGGAGGAATTCATCAAAGCAGTTCAGTTTGTTTTAGATTCTACTTTCTTTGGTTTTGATAGTGTTATATATAGGGTGTCATGAATATAGGCTTCACTCAACTACGGCTCGAGCTCTACTCGTCCTGAACAGGAACTAAACTGAGTAGAAAAGTCCTCTACCATTTTGCAATGTTCACAATAATTAACGAGATATTAACGTTTAAAGATAGCCGAATACGCGTGTCCATTCTACTATTGCCAAAGGTACGGCCCACAGAGCGCACGCGAGCCACGAGGAGCAGAGATGGCCTAGCAAGCGCGCCGCGCCGTTCGAGCTTTGAGAGGCTCGCGGTGAGCGGGGCGCGCCTGCTAGGGGCCATCCCCGCTCATTAATTATTGCAAGCATTGAAAAATGGTAGAGGACTTTTCTATTCAGTTTAGTCCGCTCTACTCAGGACGAGTGGGGCCGTATATTCATGATACCCTGTATATAGGCAGAATTACGGGACTCCTATGGGCTCTTTGTTGTCTCCCGTCATCGCGGATCTAGTTATGTGAAAGCTAGAGGTTAGAGCTTTGTCTTCGATTCGGTTTCCATTGTTCTTTTACTATAGGTTTGTTGACGACATATTATTGGCGGCACCTGTGTCTTCGGTTAGTTTCATTCTTGATATTTTTAATTCTTAGCATTCTAGGTTTCAATTCACTATGGAGGTAGGGGAAGATGAGGGGAGGTAGATAGAGGAAGATAGGGGAGATGGGTGATAGATGATTGAATTTTTTGGATGTTATAGTGATTAGAAATAATGATTGATAGAATTCAATTGGTACTACAAGCCGATTTTTTCGGATATTTGAATTTTCGGTCACAGTACTCGGTTTTTCAAAAAATACAATCGCAGGATTAGTTGATAGGGTAATTTTGCTTTCGAATCCTAAATTTCACCTTGATAATTTGTATTTCATTATTAAAATATTGTTAGAGAATAATTATCCATTGAATTTTATATTTGAGAATATTAACAATTATTTGAAGAAAATTATTATGACTAATGGAAGAGTGTTGTTAATAATAATAAGGTTGAAGTAGTGCAGCCTTCGTGGTTCACTTTTGTTCATGGTATCACTTAGAAGTTTAGTAGAATAGCGAGCGTATGAGGGTATCGTTTTATAGTACTAATAAATTGCGAGAATTTATTAGGGTGCATAAGGACTTTTTATCGCGTGATAAGAAGTCGAATATTATTAGGTGTTGGAATTAATTCGTAGCGTTTTTTAATGAAAGAATGTTATTTATTTCACATGAGCATTAAAAAATACATTAATGAAAGTACTTCCCATCACTTGTAAAACGCTACGAATTAATTCCAACACCTAATATAAGATCTCGTGTAAGATTGCGATGCAAATTATGTGAGACAGACGTGTAGACAGCTGAGGTCAAGAATCACGGAGCATAAGAATCACCCCGATGGAACACGTCTACTCGAAATGTCAAAACGGAGCATCGGTTACAAGAAGACCATGATTTCGACAACATTACGATTGGGACAACGCTACAATATTAGACGAGGAGCCTTACTACAGGAAGACTGATTTCGGAGGTGATATTCATCAGGAGATGCATGAACTCAATCTGCAGACGGATATGGAGGGACTCCCAATGCTAACCTCATAAACAAGCTATAAAGGCTTGAGTTGTCTAGTCAGTCAGTGTCGTTCGTACGCAGTAATGAGTCTTTCTGGCGTGTTTATCGATTACTTTCCAACTTTCTTGTTCTTGGAATTGATTAATGTTACATTTTTCCATTTATTACCTCAGAAAATTATTAGCTAAAAAATAAAAAGTGACTCACTGTGTCTGATACTGATTGGCCGACATTATCAGGTGCCGGAGATTCTTGAATTATTTTTATATATTAGGTGTTGGAATTAATTCGTAGCGTTTTACAAGTGATGGGAAGTACTTTCATTAATGTATTTTTTAATGCTCATGTGAAATAAATAACATTCTTTCATTAAAAAACGAATTAATTCCAACACCTAATAATAGTAATGTTGCGATATGGTGCTCTGTCAGCATGGTAAGCATCCTTATATTTGCTGGATAATTAATTATAATCTTAAAGTTGTTTGATAAATTAGTCCTCCAAATTCTATTTTATGATATGTTCTAATTTCTTTTCTTTTTTCTTTTCCTTTTTTTTCACTCTTTTTGGTTTTAATTCCATATTTAAATTTTCGATATAGGGGAGCTTACCATGACAGAATAACTTTTATTTACAGTTTTTATATATGTTAATTTATGTTGTCTCTGAGGAAGGCTCAAAAGTGAGCCAAAATATGTAAGCGTGTTTAGTGAATAAAGAAGTTTCACATTTCATAGGTATATTATTTGCACGAGGTCTTTTGCGCTTGACTCCTACCTATACTCTTTCCAATTCTTTGATTTATAAGGAGTCTTGGTTAGTTTGATTTGTTATACGATCAACTAAATTTTGATTGGTATCACAAACCGACCTTTTCGGGGAGATTTCTAAATTTTTTTCAAATTATCCTCTCTCACAAAAAAGTGGAGTTATCATTGGTTTAATAGATTGAGTTCTTTTACTCTCGGATTCAAAATACCATACAAAAAAATTTGACGATAATTGAAATATTACAGAATGACTACCTTCTTAATTTTATTTTCGAAACAATTAATAATGGAGTCAAATGCATTTTACGAAGGAAGACCGTACTGCACAATAACTTAGAAGAGAAAGATGAATCATTAGTATTTCCATCGTGATTCACTGTACCTTTTATTCCATTTTTAACAGATAAATTTATAAAATTGAATAGTGACGACATCAGGGTGTCTTTCTATAGTTTAAACAAATTATACATCGATACATTAAAGTACATAAAGACTCTCAACACCATCTTTGAAAAAATAACGTTGTATATAAAATCAGCTGTAATGATTGTGATGCAACATATAATATGTGGGACAGTCAGACAGAAAACTTAAGACAAGAATTAATGAACACAAAAATCATATTCGATGAAACACCGTTTGATCAGTGATAACATAACACGGAACATAAGTTGCAACATGATTATGACTTTGATTAGGACAATATTAAAATTTTAGATGAAAAACTTTGTTAGTAAGCGCTTAATTTTAGAAATGTTAAACATAAAGCTTACGTACCGCTAATAAATAAAATCTGACATTACAATACCAAGATGATTTTATTATTCTTCAGTCAGTGTTTGTCGAGAAAGTAACATATATGTTTAACACGGGTCTCTTTTTTAATATTTTTTGGTATATTAATTTTTACCTCTATACATCATTAATTTTATATTATGATAAAATTTTCCATCGTGATATTGGTATTTGTTTCATCACAAACTAACACATTGATGCTGAATAATTTAATAATTGACGAGCATCTTCTCAACATGCGCAATTTAAATATATGGCCAGTTAGATGAGTTATTTTAGAAGAGTGACGCTTTTACTCGAATTTTTTTCTTTTTTATTTTCTTTTATTAGGTGTTGGAATTAATTCGTAGCGTTTTACAAGTGATGGGAAGTACTTTCATTAATGTATTTTTTAATGCTCATGTGAAATAAATAACATTCTTTCATTAAAAACGCTACGAATTAATTCCAACACCTAATAATTTATATTTAACTTGACTTTTCATCAGAACATCGGGAAATTTTAAATAACCAGTCGTCCAACCATTTTGCGAGTAATTTCCGTTTCTCTACAAAACATCTCTCTGATCTTCATTAATATGTTCATAATTTTATCTATTTTTTTCGACTGCGTTTAACTAATATAACATCACCTGTTCATATACGATTTTCACATCTCAATCGTAAGACCGATCATGTAATGTATATATAAAATGTAATATATTGGGTCATCTAAAAAGTATCCGCGGTATTTTGTCACTAGATGTTGATGGTCAACACCATCTAGTGACAAAAAACCGCGGATACTTTTTAGATGACCCAATATACAGGGTGTCCCATTTTAATTGCCCACCCCAAATATTTCGAAAACTACACATCCTAGAAGAAAAAGTTTTAGACAAAAGTTGTAGGGTTTCGAGG